GTGTAGGCCAAAAATTTCCGAATGACGAAAAAAATTTCCGAATATTTCATGGCATACGTACGCAGCCACGGAGATGTTGCTATCCGGAAAATGAAGATGCAATTTACAAACAAAAATACACATAGTTTACGCAAAGACATATTACAGAAGCACGCAGTGCCGTAAGAAGCTCTTTTTTATTGGGGGCTGGGAACGAGGGCCGAAGGCCCGAGGAGATTTTCAAATTTAGATTCCCTGAAATGCCATTTCCTGGACTTTGGGGGAAGTTTTGACAGAATTCTGATGGTTAGAAAACATAGTCCTAGTAAGATATTTGTGACGTTACTCTGAATATGCATCTACAGCGGACAAGCTGAAAAGTTTGCTTGGCCACTGTGGGAGTCGAACCCGCGACCTTTGGGATACTAGTCCAATGCTCTTACAATTTAGTAGAACTAAATGGGCGAAGGCGTATTTAATTAACTATATATTGCAGGAATGAGTATGGGTAACATGATTTTTTGCGGTTTGTCATGGATAATGTAGCCGCTTAAAATTAATCAATAGACCTTTCCCCTTATGAGTGAAATTTGATCTAGACTGCAAGCCTAGGCAAAAATTTCATCACAGCGTCATTTCATGAAAGAGCGTCACAGCAAAAATTTCATGAAAGAGCGTCACAAAATTAGTAATATTCCGAAGTTTCGTTGCGAAATGTTGTAAAATGCGGATAACATAGCTTTGCGAAGTTTGCCGTTCTTTAGTCATTGTAAAGTTACAAATGGGAAATTGATAATCAGTTTGATCATCTACTGATTATCAATTTGCCGTTTGTAATGCAAAATGACTGAAAAACGGCAAACTTTGCAAGGCTATATTATCCGCATTTTATAACATTCAACGAAACTTCGGAATATTACTAATTTTGTGATGCTCTTTCAAGCTGTGGTGAAATATTTGTCCAGGCTTGTCTAGATCAAAATTTCACTCGGTTGTCGCTGCATTATTCGTTTGATACTTCAATTGGACGTCACTTTGTTAGCTTCTTGATATGTATTTCTTTACTTGCTTTTATATTTATTTGGTTAAATATTTCAACTTGAATGAGAAATTTATTTTATTAAAGAATTCTTCGGATCGGATCGGAATTCTTTTTGAAAACTCGGATCGGATTCGGATTAGACAATTTCGGATCGAATCGGATTTTAAACATTAGGCAATTGTCGGATTGGACAATCCGATCCGATGCACACCTCTAGTCTATTGTCAGTATTTTAAACGTATATTATTTATAAATGATAAAGGTGTGCATGATTGTGAAAAAAATTATTATCAGCAAATTATCGTAAGGGCTGCTGCACCCAGTCCCCGGCCTCCCGACTGCTACGGCCCTGAGAAGTAATAAACCGAAAAACATTTACCGATTTACGATTTGTTTTACGTTATCCATGTAAATGCTGTGATTTCGTAAATCAGTTTATACCAATGGTTTATACTGACAATACCATTTAATAATATTTTCTCTGTTTAAACAACTAAAATTTTGTTATACCATTATTGCCGCAATTTTCCGAATGGCCAACCCGATTTTCCGAATATGTTAATTCTACAAAAGTTGGGGGGGGGGGTTAACCCCCCCCCAATACCCCACCCCCCTCGCTACGGTCCTGTTTGCACGTTCAAAATGAACAAATAACATAATGTACGTTTCCCATTTCTTTCAATCAGATTATATAGACCAATCAGCTGCAACCCAGATCACAAGTGCCGGCGATGTGCAACTAACAAATCAGCCAGAAACGATGACAATCAATGGTGAGTATAAAATACTTAATATTAAAAACTGGTATCAAATGATTTGGAAAAATTTGCACGTTCAAACTGAACAAATAACATATTGTACGTTTCCCATTTCTTTCAATCAGATGATTCAGACCAATCAGCTGCAACCCAGATCACAAGGTCCACAAGTGCCGGCGATGTGCAACTAACAAATCAGCCAGAAACGATGACAATCAACATTGGTGAGTATAAATGACTTAATATTAAAAACTGGTATCAAATGATTTAGAAAAATTTGCACGTTCAAACTGAACAAATAACATATTGTACGTTTCCCATTTCTTTCAATCAGATGATTTAGACCAATCAGCTGCAACCCAGATTACAAGTGCCGGCGATGTGCAACTAACAAATCAGCCAGAAACGATGACAATCAATGGTGAGTATAAAATACTTAATATTAAAAACTGGTATCAAATGATTTGGAAAAATTTGCACGTTCAGACTGAACAAATAACATATTGTACGTTTCCCATTTCTTTCAATCAGATGATTCAGACCAATCAGCTACAACACAGATCACAAGTGCCGGCGATGTGCAACTAGTAAATCAGCCAGAAACGATGACAATCAATGGTGAATATATGTTTATATTGCATCTAATTTAACTCATACTTTTAGATCGAGGGCCACTAGTTTATTAGTTTGTAACTATTCTGTGCCATGACCCTCATTAAATAAATAGTCTACTTACTTGCTTGCTGTGATTCTATGCCCATGTCATCGAAAATAATCATTCTTTTTTCGAAATCGTGCAAACCTTTATCATTTAAATAATATACCTGCAACTTCTCCAATATATAGTTAGTTAATTAAATATGCATTCGCCGATTTAGTACTACTAAATTGTAACCAATTTGTAAATTTTGACATAATAAAGCTGCTATTTCTGACCATCAGAATTCTGTCAAAACATCCCTGGCATTTCAGAGACTCAAAATTGACAAATTTCTTAAAACGTTTACCCAGGGACGATGCTAGAGAGGGTGAGGAAGTGGAAACGGTCGTCGTCAAAAAGGGGGTTGACGAATGAATGACACAGAAAAAATTCACATCACAACCCCCCCCCCCCC